AATAATGTTGAATATCTTTGCATAGATTTTTTGTATTTGGCCAAAAGCAGATAGAAGAAAAACTTCATGCACTCCCATTTGACATGTATTGTACATTTATAAAAATGGTCGAATCAAATATTATCATAAACCAGAAGTTCGTTGATCCAAAGAAATTTATACTTGGACATCCAGGAACTATAATGATATTTCGAATAATAAATACACTTACATGTCCATCCTTCAAAGAACTAGAAGATTTTTTTACCTAATGATTATCAATGTGTGGCTTATTCACAAGGCAAGTTGGTCATTAAACCTTCAACTACAAATGTCAATATTGAATCTCCAACTTTCTTGGAAAGGATTCATGGAAATATATGTGGGCCAATACATCCATCATGTGGATCATTTCATTATTTTATGGTATTCTTCCACTAGGAATGTAACTTTTGCTAGACTATTTGCTCAAATCATAAAATTACGAGTGCAATTCCCCAATTACTCAATCAAGACTATTCGTCTTGACAATGGCGACGAATTTAGATTACAAGCATTCGATGATTATTGCATGTCAATTGAGATTGTTGTTGAACATTCAGTTGCGTATGTCCATACATAAAATTTTCGTTATTTTATGGTATTAATTGATTCTTCCACTAGATGGTGGCATATTTGCTACTTTCCACTAGAAATGTAGCTTTCGTTAGACTACTTGTTTAAATCATAAAATTACGAGCGCGAATTTAGATCACAAGCATTCGATGATTATTGCATGTCAATTGAAATTGTTTTTGAACATTCGGTTGCGCATGTCCATACGCAAAATGGTTTAGTGGAGTCATTTATTAAACATCTACAACTTATTGTTAGATCATTACTTATGAAAACAAAACTCTCAACTTCTATAGTATTTGGGGTCATGTCATACTACATGCTGCGTCATTGGTTCGTATCAGACAACTGCATATTATCAATATTCATCTTTGCAACTGTCATTTGGTCATAAAACTAATATTTCTCACCTGCGGATTTTTGGTTGTGCTGTTCAAGTCCATATTTCACCCTACAACGGACTAAAATGGTCCCCAACGAAGACTTGAGATTTATGTGGGTTTTGATATATCATCTATTATTAGGTATCTTGAACATTTAATATGTGATTTATTTATTGCACGTTTTGCAGATTGTCATTTTGATGAAATGACTTTCCCAACGTTTGGAGGGAAAAACTACATTCTAATAAACAAGAGTTACAAATCAATTACCAAATATATTTGTTGACACAAGAAAAGTAAGAAAGTTATACATACCAGCAGAAAATATTCCAGCAAAAATCGATGTTCATGTAGGACAATTTACCGTAGCAAATGAATCTCAAATACGTC